GTTCACAGGTCGCAGCCCCCCAGGGACGGCGAGGTCACGCTCAGGTCCGCGGTAAGTGCCCTCCCTGCTGGCCTCCCCAGCAGCCCTCGAAAGTGGCGACAGTTTCGCAGGTCGCAGCCCCCCCAGGGACGGCGAGGTCCTGTTTGGATCCGCGGTGAGTGCCCTCTCTGCTGGCCTCCCCAGCAGCCCTCGAAAGTGGCGACAGGTTCACAGGTCGCAGCCCCCCAGGGATGGCGAGGTCCTGTTTGGATCCGCGGTGAGTGCCCTCTCTGCTGGCCCCCCCAACAGCCCATCGAAAGTGGCGACAGGTTCACAGGTCGCAGCCCCCCCAGGGACAACGAGGACCTGTTTCGATCCGCGGTGAATGCCCTCTCTGCTGGCCTCCCCAGCAGCCCTCGAAAGTGGCGACAGGTTCACAGGTCGCAGCCCCCCAAGGACGGCGAGGTCCCGTTTGGATCCGCGGTGAGTACCCTCTCTGCTGGCCGCCCCAGCAGCCCTCGAAAGTGGCGACAGGTTCACAGGTCGCAGCCCCCCAGGGACGGCGAGGTCATGCTCAGGTCCGCGGTGGGTACCCTCTCTGCTGGCCTCCCCAGCAGCCCTCGAAAGTGGCGACAGGTTCACAGGTCGCAGCCCCCCAGGGATGGCGAGGTCCTGTTTGGATCCACGGTGAGTGCCCTCCCTGCTGGCCTCCCCAGCAGCCCTCGAAAGTGGCGACAGTTTCGCAGGTCGCACCCCCCCCAGGGATGGCGAGGTCCCGTTTGGATCCGCGGTGAGTGCCCTCTCTGCTGGCCCCCCCAGCAGCCCTCGAAAGTGGCGACAGTTTCACAGATCGCAGCCCCCCAGGGATGGCGAGGTCCCGTTTGGATCCGCGGTGAGTGCCCTCTCTGCTGGCCTCCCCAGCAGCCCTCGAAAGTGGCGACAGGTTCGCAGATCGCAGCCCCCGCAGGTCGCAGCCCCCCAGGGACGGCGACCACAGGGGGGGCGGGAGAAGGACGCGACCACACCCCTCTATTCAAAACGAATACCCAATCAAGGAGGGTTGGGAAAAATTCTGATCCGAATAGCACCGCGCTCCGCTAGATCCCCAAAGGACTCACGAAAGCTCTGGCAATTGCGCAAATCGCGCAACGACCCTGCAAAAGGGGCATTGCAATGATTGCGATCGATCGGGCTAGCACCCCGCTCCGCTGGACCCTCCAAGAGCTCATGAAAATGCTGACTGTTGTTACGCGGTTGCAACGCTCAAGGATGGGGGCAATGATTCTGACATGAATATCACCGCGCTCCGCTGAACCTCCAACAATTCACGAGAGCTACGACGGTTGCGCATCTGGCAGCGCCTAGGGATGGGGGTAACAATTCTAACGTCAGTAGGGCCGCGCTCCGCTGGAACCCCGAGGAGTTCACGAAAGCGCCGACGGTTGCCCAAATGGCAGCGCCCAGAGAAGTGGGTCAAAGTTCGGATCTGGAAGGCACCGCACTCCGCTGGATCCAGGAGCTCATGCAATCGCCGAAAGTTGCGCGGCTGGTAGCGCCCAGAGAGACAGGTCACAAGCCGAATTCGAATAGCACAGAACTCCGCTGACCCACCAAGACATGAACGGAAGCACGCGCCTTTGGGCAGTTCATGGCTTCATAGCACCCAGGGTGGCGAGGGAGGAGGAGGGAGGAAGGGAAGAATGCGACTAGCAGCAGCAGTTCGCTATTCAAAACGGGCGCTCAACCGAATGAGGGTTGGGAATGAAGAAGACGGGAATTGCTCTGCGTTCTCAGCCACCAGGGGCCGTTTGCGGGATCTGGGGCCGCCAGGATTCGCGTGTCGATAAAGCCCACCATTTGCAGTTGCGAATAACGCAGTTGTGCGTATCGTCTTCGGTGGAGCTCCCCGTGGGGCCACGAATCGTGTCAGGGACGTGCCAAGAGTGGCGGGCCGGCCGCATGTGGACGGTGCCACTGGGGCCTTCGGCGGAGCTCCCTGGGGGGGCTGCGAATTTTGCGGCCACGTTGGTGCTCGGTGGAGCTCCCCATGAGGCCACGACATGTGTGAGGGGGGGGGTGCCGAACATGTGGAGGGTGCCCTGGGGCCTTCGGTGGGGCGGGAGTCCGCTGTTCCACTGGTGTGCCGAAATTTCGTGGGTCCGCATGTGGACGGTGCCACTGGGGCATTCGGTGGAGCTCCACATGGGGCCACGAAGCGTGGGGGTGTGACACAATGTGCGTGCGGAGGGCAGGGGCATGGGGTGAGAGGAGGCAGGAGGGGGCAGCGGGAGGACGGAGCGGACGCGGCGCGCTGTCTCTTCAAAACGAAGACCCGACACCACAGGATGGTTCGGAGAGCATTGGGAACAAACGAACAAAACCGCTACTGAGGAGCAGAGAACGATGAGTGAGGGAAGAGGAGGGAAGTGGGAGGGATGAGTGAAGGAGTGAGGGGGGGGGGGGGCGGAGGGCAGGAGTAGGGAGGGGGAGAGGGGGAGGGAGAGAGGCAGAGAGAAATCCAGGAGGAATGTGGAACGGCTGACGTAGAAGACGGAATTGCTAGGTGAATGTCGCTATCTCAATAGTAAGGTCTCCCTGCCTTATCTGAGCAAGAGTATGATGATGCGGGGGATGAGGAGAACGCGAACCAGGAGTAGAACAATGATGAACAATGCTGTGATGATGAGGAGGAAGGCGAGGACGAGGAGGGAGGAGGCGAGAGGGAGGATGCAAAAGGAGAGGAAAGGAAGCATGACACGGTCGAACTTACGACGGGTTAGAGGTAGCTCGCTCGTTGCAGACTGGACTAAGTGGGAATTCCTGATTTGGTACCGCAGCCCTCCCATAAACGCGTCACTCGACCCTTGGACGTCCGCGAATGGGCCCCATTGCGGGGCTTTCTCAGTTAGCGAGGAGGGGGGAGGGAAGGAATACGATCGGACCAAGTACAGACAAGTATCCTTCCAGAACATGAGACCCTCCGCCGGCCATACAGAAGAACATTCAAGGGTACCCTCCCCCAAGATGCACAAGAGCACCCAATAAACACGAAGAACACTTCGGTACCCTCTCAAAAAGACGTCGATCTGATACCTCGGTCCGACCGTTCGAGATGCAGGGACGAGGGGGACCGAAGCTGGCGCTGCAGCCTGGGGTCAAAATACTGGCGAAACCCTTCTTCCTCATCCTTTTCCTCCGACCCTGGTTCTCCTCCTCTCTCATGCTCAGTGTTGCCCCTTATGCTAACTTGCGCTGGATGAGGGTTTTCGGACGTTGCCAGACGGATATTTGATGTTTTCGGTTTTCTGTCCTTGTCGAGCCTCCGCGGGACTTCCGGGGGACAGGATCCAGGGCGGGGGCAAACCTCCCCTATCCTGCGCCTCCTCTGCTCTCCGTCGTCGTCCTCATCCTCCTCCTCCTCCTCCTCCCCCTCCTCCCCCTCCTCGTCCTCCTCCTCCACCTCCTCCTTCTGCTCCTCCTCCTCCTCCTTCTCCTCCTCCTCCTCTTCCTCCTCCTCCTCCTCCTCCTCTTCCCCCTCCATCTCCCCCCCTCCTGCTACTCCTCCTCCTCCTCCTCCTCCTCCTCCCCCCACCTCCTACTACTGCTCCTCCTGCTCCTCCTTCTCCTCCTCCTCCTCCTCCTCCTCCTCCTCCTCCTCCTCCTCCAGTGTCCATTATGTCTCGAGACGAGGCGGAAGCAAGGCCAAATGTTCACGACTGCTGCGCACCGATGTCCAAGAGATCCAAGCGCCCGGTGAGTGAGTGCGTAAGGTCGGTATTCAAATGCTGCGCATGCCTGCGGAAGGGAGCCTCCACTGCTACAAGAACATACGCCATTACGCATCGTAAAAAAAGCGGCCGGGGGGAAAAAAGTATAACGCAGGTATGAACGTTGAAGCGAAGAGGCGGCGGATGCGCGTGGTCGCTCAGCAACAAAAAGCAGAAGCGTGCCGCGGTCAATCTCGCATGTGGCGCGCGTCCGGGAACAAAAGTGTGAAAGGGGGGAGAGCTGGCAGCGGGAGCAATTTCGGGGGATGCCGACGACCCACAAACTCGACCACAAGAAACCTTCCACAAGAAGCCTAACCCTGGAACCCCAGGAAGTACATTGTTTTGTTCGGTATGGGAACGTCATGTACCCCATAGCAAAACCATCGAAGCCCAAGAAACCCAGGGCACCCTGGAGGTAAGCAAGGTGTTTCCTAGCATGGGCTTTCACTGTGCACATCCGGATCGGTGGAAGCGCTCCCCTGCCCTTACCAAGGATGTTTGTACACCGATCTTGGACCAGCGGCTTTGCTTGGCCAAGGTTGGTGTACTATCCGTCACTGTGACTTCGAGTCATGGTAGGATGCCAGTCTTTTTGCCAAGTAGCATGTTGGCAACTTTCCACATGGCGCCCACCCCCGCTAGAACAGCTGCCTCCAAAAAGCTTGCCCGAAGTCTGCTCTCCAGTACCGTTAGCGGTCTCTAGGCGGCTCCAATAAGGTCGAATGCCGCCCTGGAATATGTTCCAAGATCAGCCCAAGGCGACCCCACAATCCCCCACAAAGGCTCCACTATGTCCCATCCAATCAAAATAACTCACGAGCATCCCGTGATCGTCGTCACGACGTTGAACTTCGATGTCGGTCGAACTCTCGATCTCGTTATCGTCCTCCTGCGGCATTTTCCAAAGCCAGTCCGAATCGTGAGGGACCTGGGGGCCTGAAACAAGCGGGGCGGAACACGCCCGTCGTGGTCCTGTCACGACGTTCGGAACAGAGGGGATAAAGCCACTTCTGCCCAGAGGGCCCAAGATCCGTCACCAGAGATCTCCAGACGCACTCCAGTCCAAGTTTGCGCGCCGCGCCCACCCGTCGACATGAGTAGCTGCCCCGAGACCCTGATACATACCAGACGCTCCAGAGCTCACCGTCCTCCTCCTTCCCGAGGGATTGTTCAGGACCTGGACGTCCGATGTCGTGACTTTGTCTGTACAAGGTTTCCAGACATCCTGACCCCCTCCACATAGCCGGCTTCTCATCCTGAGCAGTGAGAACAGCAACGCGCACGAGGACCCAGGAGCAGCAGCACCATCCAGGAGGCCGTCACAGGTCGTCGTTGACCTCCTCGCCAGGCTCTGTCTCGTCGAGCTCACGTCGTCGGCATCGTCGCCACCCTCGCGTCCGCCGTCGTCGCCGCAGCCGCCGCCGTCGGCGTCGTCGCCACCGTCGCGTCTGCCATCGTCGTCGTCGTCGCCGCCTGGCCCCTATTGACTGCCGTTAGTTCGGGCATGTCCTGCTACTGGCGAATCTTCAAAGAACAATCAAACTATAGTAAAAACGCATTCAAAGTTAGCTTGGCGAAGGACCCAACCATATGCAGCTGTGAGCACCGCAGTCGTGAGTATGATCTTCGGTGGAGCTCCCTGCGGGGCCACGAGACGTGTGAGGGGTGTGCCGAAGTGGGTGTGGCGGACGCATGTGGACGGTGCCACTGGGGCCTTCGGTGGAGCTCCCCCTGGGGCCACGAAACATTTGAGGGGTGTGTCGACACGGATGTGGTGGACGAATGTGGACGGTGCCACTGGAGCCTTCGGTGGAGCTCCCAATGTACCCACGAAACGTGTGAGGGGAGTGCCGAAATGGGTGTGGCGGACGCATGTGGACGGTGCCTCTGGAGCCTTCGGTGGAGCTCCGTATGGGGCCACGAAACGTGTGAGGGGTGTGTCGACATTGATATGTCGGACGCATGTGGACGGTGTCACTCGGGCCTTCGGTGCAACTCCCTATGGGGCCATGGAACGTACGAGGGGTGTGCCGAAATGGGTGTGGCGGACGCATGTGAACGGTGCCCCTGGAGCCTTTGGTGGAGCTCCCTGCGGTTCCACGAAACGTGTGAGGGGTGTGCCGACATGGCTGTGGCGGACGCATGTGTATGGTGCCTCTGGAGCCTTCGGTGGAGCTCCCTATGGGGCCACGGAACGTGCGAGTGATGTGCCGACATGTGTGTGGAGGACGCATG